GGGGAAGGCAATACAAATCTGCGGGTGAACGAGAGGATAGACCGAGAGGGCATCTGCGGGGCCGTGTCGCCCTGCGTCCTCCGCTTGGAGGCAGTCATGGAGAACCCTTTCGACATGTTTCATGTGAGCGTTACTATCCAGGACATCAATGACAACGCACCGCGGTTTAACAAAGAATTTGTTACCATAGAAATCATCGAGTCGACGCCTCCTGGGAGCAGATTCGCACTGGGCAGTGGCAGAGACCCCGACATTGGGGCAAATTCTTTACAGAAGTACGAACTTACCCCCAATCCACTCTTCTCCCTCTTAGTGAGGGAGAGCTCTGATGGGACGAAACACGCGGAACTGGTACTGGAGAAAAACTTAGACCGAGAAAAACAGAAAAATCACCATTTGATACTGACGGCGCTGGATGGTGGGGATCCGGTCCGATCCGGGACAGCCCAGATTAAGATTAACGTGACAGACGCAAATGACAACCCACCAGTATTCACCAAAGAGATCTACAAGGTTCGACTGATGGAAAACCTGCCAGAGGGCTCCTTAGCTTTTCAGGTGAAAGCTACTGACAGTGACGAAGGTACAAATGCAGAAATCGCCTACTCTTTCAGTGATATCGCAGACAGTGCTCGCCAGCTCTTCTCTCTGGACCCCAGGACAGGGGATGTGAAGGTTACAGGCCCCTTAGATTATGAAGAAGGGAAATATTACGAAGCGACTGTTGAAGGCAAGGATGGGGGTGGACTCACTGCACAAGCCAAAGTACACATAGACATTACAGACGTAAATGACAATGTGCCAACCCTTTCCCTCCTGCCTATCTTGAACCCGATACCCGAAGACTCAGTCCCGGGCACAGTCGTAGCTGTGATCAATGTTCGTGACAGAGACTCGGGAGAAAATGGAGAAGTGAGCTGTAACATGGACGGAAATCTGCCTTTCAGATTGGAAACGTCATCAGAGAACACTTATAAACTGATAATAGCCAGTACCCTGGACAGAGAAACAGTGTCCTCTTACAATATCACCATCACTGCAAGGGACCGGGGCAGCCCGGCTCTGTCGAGCAGCACAGAGCTGGTGCTGGAGGTGTCGGACGTGAACGACAACGCGCCGGTGTTCGAGGAGGCGTCGTACAGCGCGTACGTGCGGGAGAACAACCCGGTGGGCGCGCTGGTGTTGCGCGTTGTCGCTCGGGACTTGGACTTGGGCGCGAACGGGCGCGTGAGCTACTGGCTGTCGGGCGGCAGCGCGGGCGCGTTGGGCGCGGCGCCGCCGGTGTCGGTGGAGGCGCGGAGCGGCGCGGTGTACGCGCAGCGCTCGTTGGACTACGAGCAGTGCCGCGAGTTCACGGTGGCCGTGCGGGCGCAGGACGGCGGGTCGCCGGCGCGCAGCTCGACGGCCACGGTGCGCGTGTTCGTGCTCGACCAGAACGACAACGCGCCGCGGGTGCTCTACCCGCCCCCGCCGGCGGCGTCGGGAGCGGCGCCGGGCTCGGTGGGTTCGGCTTTCGAGGTGGTGCCGCGTTCGGCGTCGTCCGGGTACCTGGTGGGCAAGGTGGTGGCGGTGGACGCGGACGCGGGGCGCAACGCGTGGCTGTCGTACGAGCTGGTGCAGGCGTCGGAGCCGGCGCTGTTCCGCGTGGGGCTGCAGAGCGGCGAGGTGCGCACGGCGCGGGCCGTGTCGGAGAGGGACGCGGCCAAGCAGCGCCTGGTGGCCGTGGTGAAGGACCACGGGGAGCCGGCGCTGTCGGCCACGGCCACGCTGCACGTGGTGCTGGCCGAGAGCTTGCAGGAGGCGCTGCCGGAGCTGAG